AAATTTTGTAATAAGCAATATTTTAAAATATTAAAACATTTTACAATTCATGACATGATCAGGCACATTGTGTTTGAAAAGCCAGAACGCTAAAAAGATAATCATAAAATATTTTATTGTACGAAATTGCTAACTGCAAAATGTGATACAATATTAAAAAATCACAGAAAACTTATTTTTCAAATAGCAACATAATCAGGCACAATGAGCCTATTAGATCTTTTCATCTGTCAACTGGAAATGAAGAAATATATTCGCTGACTGACCTTACAACTGCCAGTGGCACTAGAAGAGGGAAAACTAAGTGGATGGAGAAGGAGTGACAACATTTGCAAGAAGTAGGGCAAACAAAAGTGCTCGAGGTGTGCCTAGCAGATCATATGCAGTCGACAGTGTGTTAAAGTTCACAGCTATTTTTACACACATGCAGTCATATATAAATAACCAAAACATTTTTATTATTAAGTATGACAATTAGAATAGTCAAATCATATAGATAATGAAAATATTTAAATTAGTAACATAATAGTGGTATGTAGTGGAAGCTTGCAGATGAAATTAGTGGGGGTGCTGCTGTGGGAAATTTTTAGCATACGATTAAGTCAAATTATCACTATGTCTAGATCTATAGCAGAAATCTAAATGACCCTTTTATTCAGAACTGAAGTGATGGAAAAAAGGCATTTCTTGTGCATACAAAGCACCCAGCATTTCTGGTGTAATTTGAAAGTAGGGAATTTCAAATTAAATCTAAAGTTAACCCGAAGTCTACGCAGAACTGATTAATGTGCAAGTTGGCTTAAACCTGTACCAGTATGACGAGAATAAAGAAATGCCAAAAACAATCTGCTGTCATAGAAATTCAACTAGTAATTTGGCTTTCAGGGGGCTGAGCATGCTCTTCATAAATAATCTAAAACCTTCCTTTAAATACTTTATCTACCTTAGTTAAATATATGTGGACTGAAATTGGTGTTCTGTCATGAAAATGGAAAGAGAGAATTGACAGTAAAGCTGCGTAGATGAAATAATTGGTTAGCTAAAATAAACAAATACTCATAAATTTATTCAAAAACTTTATAAAATCCTATGTGCACAAAGATTGGTTTAAATTTTTCAAGATGAACAGAATGGTCAACTGTTAGAAGAATGAAAACAAATTTTTTCATTCTGTAAAAGAGCAACTTTAATTCTTTCTGAAAAGTTGGCAAAAAAAGAAAAGTGTGTAAAAGCTGGTTATTTTAAAGTATTAATTACAGCCAAAATATTCAACAACCAATTTTTTTCATCGTAGATGAGTGTTATCTTTATGTATGTAAAAATATTTCATAAATTAACCATTTAATCTGATTTTATTTTTCTGTTTTCCAATTTGATCAATCTATTTCTGAAGTCAATCAAAGCTTTGCATAAAATACTTTTTCTGCAAACTTTTGCAGTTCTGTGTTTGGTATTTATTGGGTGAAAACAGTTTCATGTAGGAAATTTTAGGACCACTGTGCTAAAAGTATTGGCACAAATAATATCCGTGTATTATACAGTATGTTCTCTGAAAGAATTGCTTATGCCATGCATGTGTTACTTGTTATACTAATGTAGAAATTCTTCATTATAATACATAATTTCCTATATGTTTTGCATAAACTTATGCTCATCTCTGAAGCTTTTCTTCAAAATTGTAATGTTTGATGGCATTGATCAATTGTGAACATTTGTCTTGGAGGTAACATGCATTATACTTTACTGTATTCATACCTGCCAACTTTTACGAATTTTTTCGTAATTTTTACGAAAATGCTTTTTTTTTTTTTTACGATCGTAATCCATTTTTTTACGATTCTTTTCCTTTTTCAAGTGTTTTTAGTGATTTTTATCGAAATTTTAGAATTTTTCGCCAATTGCATCGTGTTTTACCGCTAACTACCGACTACTTCGAATCCAGTAACCTGCGGTTTCTCCCAACTCGCCGCTTAACCAGCCAGTCCAATGCGCTGAACTTGTTTCTCCCACTCTTTTCTTTGTGGGCGGCAGATTATTTTTTCGTGTTCGCTTCAGCAGCAAGGGAATTACTCAGCGAGTGTGGCTTGTCGCATTCTGTGTTTTTAATTTTTTATTTTTGTTTTGTTTGTTTGTTTGCACGTGCTACGAATTTTCTTAATATGTCGTTGTTACGAAATGAATTCAAAAAAACTGTATTCTCAATATTTGCGGCCTGCCTACAAAGCCGAATTTCCAACAATTAAAGAATCCTTCAAAGGAAATAACTATGCATTTTGCAACGTGTGCGTGTGTGACTTCATAATAAGTCACGGTAAGTCTAAAAAGCATGAAGTTAATGCTTCGGCTTCAACAACGTCAAAGAAAGTGGATGATTTTTTTTTTCGAATTCGGATGCCGATGTCATTTTGGCAGAGTGTTTGTTTACTGCATTCCTCTTCGAACACAACGTGCCGCTAAGCGCTGCCGATCACGCCGGTCAACTTTTCAGACGGATGTTTCCCGACTCCAAGATTGCTCAGAAATATGCTTGTGCTCGCACGAAAACATCTTCTATTGTGAACAAAATTGCTTGCGATGCACAAAGTAAAACGATAGCTGCACTCCAGAATTCAGCATTTTCGGTGTCAATCGATGGCAGCAACAACAGCGATTGGAAGCTGTCGCTTACCCCATCGTTGTCACATATTTCTGTGATGTTTCCAGTGAAATGAAAACTCATCTTTTGCGTCTTCCATTGTTAAATGGAGACACTACGGGGGAAAATATTGCCTCCTTGGTAATTAATGAGTTGATACAACTTAACATCCCAATATCAAACTGCATTTCATTTGGTGCAGATAATGCTCATGTCATGGTGGGTGACAAAAAGGGTGTAGCCTCTTTCCTCTAAAAAGAACAAAATGAATTAATTGTTATTGGATACCCATGCCACTTAATTAATTTGGCAGCAGAAAAAACTGCAGCTGTAATTCCACACATTAATGCTGAGTGCTAGAGAGTCTTCAGTGTTGTGAAGAAAAACAAAACTATGTTTTGTTCTTCAATTTCACCAAAAACTCTAGAAAACATTTTAATTGCTAAATGTTATGAGGAAACTAATTGTTATGACAGGAAATTTTCCAAAGAATTTTTGGCTGAAGCCAAAAAATGCACTCTAAATTCATTGCAATAATTTTTTTGTGTAACATTAAGTTCTTGTTTTATGTTTCCTAATAAATTTTTTAGTTACTACTTAATTGAGATTTACTAATGCAGGTACAATTTTCTTTTTTCTATTTGTATAAATTGTTATTTTTTTAATATCAAAGCATGATATTAATTCTTCGTGTTCTTCTGAAATTTTATCTTTAGAGGTTGGCAGGTATGCTGTATTTATTAACCCCCAAGTGGTGCAGGTCTGTTCATGAAGATCTGTATTGAAACCACATTTAATGGCTAAATTTGTATAATTACTTATTTTATTCTCTGTTTTCATTAACTTCATTCATTAAGATGATATTTACTTCATTAAAGAAAGTAATAAAGCAAAATGTTTTGAGTTGTAAATTAATAGATACAGTCAAAAGTCGTTAATCCGGACTCGACGGGACTTACAGATCATCGGACTCGACGGATTATAGATCATCAGTTTAAATCTCGTAAAATGGCATGCAGAAATTCTAAAATTAAAAAGATGAAACCGTAATTTATGAAATAAAGAATAATTATGATCTAAAGGGTATCAAAATTTTAAAAAAACAGCTTAATCTTTATTTGTTTACTTTATTAAACATTTCTTTCAATGTAAGTTGTTTAAGTTGCTTCGTTTTATGTGATAATACTTTCTCTTTAATTCTATAAACAGACATAATTTCTTGTTCAGTTACAAAGTTCCGCTGTTCAAGTCCCGTAATTGCTGTGCCGAGAACACCGACTAACTTGTCAATCGAAATTTTTTCGTTTTCACTAACCTCTCTGTCACCTTCTTCATGTCTTTATCCATTTTTTGCAGCAATTCCACTTTTTGTTTGATGGACATCGAAACATACTTTCATTTTGTAGATCCTTTGGGAGCTCTAGCATCGTAAATTCTATTTGACATAATCGAAAGTTCAGGTTTACTTTTATAAAATTTCTCTTACAGTCTGAAGAAAGTAATAAGCCGGATCCAGTTCGAAGATTAAGGAACAACGCAATCATCAACATTAACTGAAATAGATAATTTTAGCTTATACCGTCCGTTGTACATTAAACGCGCATGCGAAAACGTATTCTGCACTTGTGCACACGCAGATGCGCAGTTGTAAAGGTCTTACGCGCACGCGTAAACGTCTATGCGCATCTGTCAACGCAGCGCATGCGCAGAAACTTTTTAGCTTTGAGGTCCGTATTATAGATCATTCCGGATTATGGGTGTCCGAATTAACGACTTTTGACTGTACCAAGAAACAAAAAAAATCCCATGACTGGATAAAGGTTGTCATGCCACTTAGGGGTCATTTTACAAACTAAGCTTAGAGGTTTGAAATATTTAATGTTTTTCAACTAGTGAATAATCCTCCCCTTTCCCCATTAAAAAAAAAACAAAAAAACTAAGGTATATGTGCTAGTTCTATCAATGCAATATCAGTTTCTGTAAGATATTAATTTCTTCTTTTGGAAAGTTCTCGGTATTACAATGAGACAGTTTTAAAATTATTTTCATATCTTTTTTTAAAAAATAGAAGGTACGAGAACATTAAGATAATTGCTTGCTCCTGTTCTTGTAGAGGTGTACTTAAACAGATACCGAAACTAGATATTACTTTTAACTCTGGTTTTTTAGATTTGGAATTCAGTATTAGTATTTGCGCTTTGAAATACACTGATATGTCAAAATCAGTTGTGAATTGATGCTGATATAAAACTGCCTGGCTGTCATTGATTTTAACCGTGACTGTATCACCCTAAGAAAGGTAAGTTAAATGCTGATTTGGTATTTGATAAATAGTTGCTTATTTTCATTTTTGTTCTATATTTAGGTTTTGGAGTTAGCAGGAAATGCAAGTAAAGATTTGAAGGTGAAAAGAATTACTCCTCGCCATCTTCAGCTAGCCATTCGTGGGGATGAAGAGCTTGATTCGCTCATAAAAGCCACAATAGCAGGTGGTGGTGTCATTCCCCATATCCACAAATCTCTTATTGGAAAGAAGGGCACAGCACCTAAGACTCCATAAGTTTGTCATCTTTCATCGGGAAACATGTATCATTGTCATTTAATTCAGCATCTGTAAACCTTTGAAATATTTTTCAATAAAACATCTTTACTCTTCTCCTGGCATAAAAATTATACTACTGTTATTTATAATAGAATTACATTATGAGCTTGATTTCTGACACTGTTAACCAAAATTTGTGTAACCATTTAAAAATATTGTCATGCTACTGGGAAAAGTCAGGGAAATCAAAAATTGACCAAAAAAGTAAGGGAATTTAAATATTTTAGTTAAAATCTAAAAAAGTTGGAATTTCATATGGCAATCCCCAAAAAAAGCGATTTTTGTGCCAATGTTAGAAGCGATCACTTTTTTGCCGAATTATGTATTGCGCCATTTGGGCAGCCAGCATAGAGTTAAGTTTTGCAGTGCCAATCAGATTGTCTTTCAGAAAGGTAAAGCAAGTTTCCAGTAACCTCTTGAATCTAGGGGCTTGTTATATGTTGTGCATGTTGAGCAAAAGAAAATTCTGCCTCTTGGTTAAGAGAGCTAGCTCGCTTCTCTGTTTCCAGTTAGAAAGTGTGGTAAAAAATTTAACTTTGTTTGGTGAATGCTAAATTTATTCTGAACTTAATTTTTCGATTTTTAAATAATTCACATTTAAAATTTTATTTTAAGAAATTCCACAGTTTCAGATAAATCGAAAGTGCAGATTAAACAATTGCTATTCAGAAGTAAGGGTGTTTGGAAATATACTTGTTAATTATGCTGCAATCTGACTTGATTAATAATTCAGATTTTGAAGAACATTGGAGTGTTGTAAAACAAGTTCTAATTTGATCACATGGCAGTCCCACGATAGAAAGTGGTTTTTCAGTTAATAATACATTTGAAAACATTCAGAAAAATTCTTTTAATTGCAATGCGAACTGTTTATAGTGTCGTAAATGTAAATGAAGGTGATAAATATTAGTATAACTCCTGATATGCTACTATATGCCAGATCTGCTTATGGTGCATATCAAGCACTCAAAGACAAAAAGCTGTGTATTAGTAAACATTAAAAAAAATATTTTGGGACAAAAGGAAAGCACAGATAAAAATTATGGAGTTAAAAAAAAAAAAAAAAAATTGCAGCTTTGTTTCAATTGCTTGCAAAATTACAGAAATATTTTTCCTATTAATGTTTTATTTAACTATGCTACATGTCTCTTTTTATCTTGAACTCAGATAAAAAATTACATTTAATTCATATTATATATGCTTGTATTAAAAGTGTTTCATCAAAAGTCTTTGTATTAAATTAATTGAAGTGAGATCATTCATAAATCTGGATCAACTTTTATTTAGCATAAATATTAAAGAAAAGTATGTAGCCACAAATATTACATTGTTAGTCTCTGGCTACATAGAGATAATTACAAATATTGGCTTCTTAAAAAAACTGCTGTTTGACCTTTCAAAATTTAGCAAGTGTTGTATTATTACTCAGGTAATTGTTTGGCAATTGCATATTATTTAATAGGATAGATATAACTGCTCCCCCATTGCCATTTTGTGAACAATAACTTTCATTCCAGAATTTATCTATAATGCTTTTTTTTTTTTTTTAAATAATAAAGCTGTCTTTCTTGGCATAATTTTATCACAATTAATCGTGGAGAAAATCCAGTGTTTAAAAGCTTATACATTTCACTGAAAAATCAATGAATTTCATTTCTAGTTTTGTTTATTACTTAGATGAAATGTATTGTAAGTATTTAATTTCATTTGTAAGTGAAAGTTATTGAGTAAAACAAATATTATAGTCAGAATAGTAATGCTTTGGGGAATGTATATATATGTAATTGTCAAATTTTTTGCTTTCTCAAGTGGTACCATAATTAATTTACCTTTAGCACAGTCAACGTGCACTGCATGGATAGACTAGATTTTTTTTTTTTTAACATACCTGGAAAAGTCGGGGGAATTTCATTCTCCTGTTTGAGTTGCAACCCTGTAAAAAAATTTCAGTGTGATTTTTATTAAGACAGTAAATGCATATTCTCCAGTGGAAATTTTTTTCATTAATAAAATTCTGAAAGTTATTTTAGAAATATCTGCTGCTATACAAACCTTGGTCGTTTTTTACACAGTTGCTGAGCTGAAACGGAAGATGTAGTTCTTGATAGTAGGAAACTGGTTGAGTGTGCATTGAATCTTCCTGTAAATGCTCTTTTCTAGGCAGAGAGTTGATGAAGGCCCAGGATGCAGAAGAAAATATTGGGTAGACAGGAAAAATAAAAATACGAGTTAACCATGTTTTTAAATAAGTTTATCAAACTTTTGAACCAATAATAGCTGACCATATGTAAAAGAATAAGTGATGACAGGTATACATATAATAGGTGTAACATTCAGGAATTTGAATTAAAAAAAAGGTAGAATTTTACTTGAAATTTAAATAATTTTTTTCCCTTGCTTTTCATTTTGTAAGCTTAGTTTCTAATTGCAATTATTAATTTTATGTGAATCACTCTCTATATAAAGTAGCCATGTTATTTGGTCTTTGACACTGAATTTCTTAATTTTTTTTAAGGAGAAGAAAATGTGCATTTGAAATTGGTATGGTTAACTAAATTTTCAAAACATTGCTTTCATATCTAATGTTTATTTATTATATACATATGAAATTAAATGATCACTTGGATTCTTCATCTAAAAAAGATTTAAAACTTTTTCCAACTCATCATTAAAACTGCTCAAATCAATGTCATCTTTATGCACTTTTTTCCCTCCACACAATGTAAAGATTTAAAAAAAATTGTAACATTTTCCTAGATTTCTACATCTGTTCAGTTCTGGTGTTAAATGATTGCATGTTACATAATGTAAAAAAATACATTCCTTTGATTCCTCATCTATGCATTGGTTTTCAACTTGACTCTTTCTGTTAAATGGTGAAAGCTTCTTTACTTCATTTTGATTCTCTCTCAAATTATGATGGCATGAATAGCCAGGGCCAGTTATAAATTCATCCAATGCTCATTCTGTTGTTTGAAACTTACTCTTGTCTTAGCCTGCTGGATCATAAGTTTTCTTACATTTTTCTAGAAGCTACTCTTTTACATAACCTCCTCATATAAAGGCTGCGTCATAAGTTTTCATAGATAGCCTTCTCGTCTTTGTCCTGTTAACATCTCGGCTATGCTCCTCTTTCTTTTGTTAGAACGTTATGACATATTAAAATTTAAAGTCAGTCGTATCTAATAGTGCAATTACTGAATAAGTAATTTGATTAACTTCATCTGGAAAAAGTCATCTGCTCTAAATTAAAATAAAGATATGCTGTTAAAAGTGAAAAGTCCTGAGTCGTCATTTTTCTCCATGCTTCAGTCATCCCAGCTTCGTCAACCATCCGCCAAAACGTGTAATGGACTATCCTCACCATTCACCCACGATGTGTTGGAATGTGATATATTTCATTTTTCTAGTTATGAATGCAAGGAAAAACTATACAATTTAGTAGTCAGAATGATTAGAATCCTGAAAGAAATGTTCCATTGTAATGTAATAAATTAATGATTAATTAAATTTAAAAATTGTTCATAAATTATGAAAATCCAGGTCCTGGTGTAACACCAGGAATCAGTTTTATCTTAATATAATTTCAATGATGAAAATTAATTTTTTTTAAATTCAACTTATGTAAGTATTTATTTATATGTGCAGAAAGCTGTTTTTAAAACAGAAAATAAATAGAACAAGTGCACATTCCTTCATATTGTTGTTGTTAAGTCTGCACGGCAGGAGAAGTATGATAAATGCAAAGTAGCGAGTATAATTTTATATCTCCGATGAGCAGTAGTGCAGCCATGTGGGGCCTATTCAGTGTAGTAATCAAATAAGTAAATATAAACCTTTCAGGTTTTACTGTTGATTGCAAATTTGTACATAAAGTTGCATACATGAAACCAAAGTGATATCCTCTTTTATCACAAATTAATTCCTCTTCCTCAAAATATACCATAGAAACGGTGAAAAATTATGTCTCAAGCATTTTTCACCATATAAACTAAAACTGGGACATTTCTTCTACTGTATCAATTTTAATGTGTATTATCATGCATCTTTCTGAATATATAGCCACCTATGAACAAATGACTGAGCAATAAAATCAAAGCATGGGCACTCTAAAAAATGCATGTGCTTTGGAAAAGAGGAAATTGGATTCTTTAGTGATATTTGCTACTGCGATAAGGAAGTAAAATTCCAGCTGAATTCACAGGCATGTATGCTAGGGGTGTCCAAATTTCATCATAGTAGGAATTCATGAAAGTTCAAAACCTGCAAGTTCTAGTGCTAGTTCTACTGGTGGAGGGGCTTCACCAGTAGCCAAGCAGGTAAGGCTGCCAAATACTGGAAATTCTACTTAGGTGAGCAGCTGGCTGTAGGTTCATGGTTTCCCCATGTGTAATGGGAACAAGCCAGTTGTTCCATCCCTTCCCTGAGGCAGACAGCCCTTATGTGCTTTGCTATAATTAAAATAATCAAACATATTTATATGCAGATTTGAAAGTATTTTTAAATACAAATGAAAATTTTCAAACAGGTAATCAAACATTGCTTTTAGCAGAAGTAAATTAAAATATAGAGAACGTGATTGCAATAATATAAAATGCTTTTCGTTTGAACACTAATTTTAAAAAAAAATCCAATAACTTATGCACTTTTAGAACACGTACATATACCTATAAAAGTAATAAAATAAGTTACACTAGACAGCATGCATTGTGCAAAAGTTATTACTCAAGGAAAAAATATTTTTAAATATGTTATAAAATTTTCCAAGCTTTTGCTTCAGAAATAATCTTTATTTCCTTGCATGGTATGAGGACCAGTGCACTTATGTCAAACCCAGCTTGTGAGTATTTGAATTTACTCATTAGGAATGAAATAAATTACCATCACATTTTTTCCCTTAAGGATGGGACATTCGAATCCTTCAAAAAAGTATGAAATTCCAAAACTCGAATCTTAGCATATTTTTCATCATTTGAGTATTTCAAAGCTTAAGTCGAAACATCTTTATATATAAAAAAAGAGAAAATGTGGTTATTACCATTTCAGTATCTAAATCTCCGGTATGATC